CACAACGGTTATTAAGGAGTCATTAAAAAGTGCTATAAACGCTTTTCACCGCTTGCTGTACAATGATTATTTAGGAGTCATAAAAGAGTGCAACAAACGCCTCTCAGGTTTACTCTCTACTAAATTTCAAAGCAGCTGTCAAGAAGTGTCTACAAACGTTGTATAAGAGCTTTCACCAAAATAATAAAGCTTGAGTTTAAATATGTATCTATAAACGTTGTATAAAAGTTGCTTCTACTCCTATACCGCGTATACATATAATACTGTAGTTGAACAGGTTCTCCAAACCAGTGTAAACAAGAGTTTTACAGAAGTTGTAATAAACAAATTGTACAGTTATTTTCAGCATGTAGTTGAATAAAATCCCAATGGAAGCGTTTCTTCAACAAGAAATTTATTTTGGGTAAACGTTTTACTGAATACGTTAGACAACACCTTTGTGTTGCAGTTGTATAGGTTCTCCAAACCAGTGTAAACAAGGGTTTTATAAAAGTTGTGGTGAACACATTGTGCAATTATTATTCAACATGCAGCTGAACAAAATCAAAACGAAAGCGTTTCTTCAACTGGAAATTGTTACTTGGAATCTCTCATATCGGGTCACATCTCTATAGTGAACCCTACACGATTGCTTTTATTGACAATAATCGTATTGTCAATACATGCTATATTGACGTCAATATATCGAGATTGACAATATTTATGAATTCACATCATCAATATTATTGTCAATAATTCCCCTTCGCGTCAATATATTGATGCGTGTGGGGTTTGCTTATAAGTATCATGACAGGTAACGATGACAGCCGTTTGTTTATAAGAAAACTGGGACGGGACTTGACAATCGGGTAGCGATTTCGAGCCAATTTGCTGTCAAATACGAGCCAGTTTCTGATTGGTCGGTTTGACAGTAGCAATCGTGGAATAAAAAGGAAAGAGGGATCGCATGAATCTGGTTGGCAGTGATGCCGGTATCAATGTTTACGTCAATGGCGTTGTTAATTGTTTATATTTGCTAAAGGAAAGTTGATCAATTGAGTGCACTGCGTGTTTTAAGCGTTGGATATTGTTGTTTGTTTATGGTTGTTTGTAAGCTAATAAACTGCGGTGGAAACTCCGAATAAAATCCAAATAAAAATAAAGGAATACGGTGCGGATGGGGCGGACAGGAAATAACCAGGACAACACTTAACAATGAACAAGTTTTATTAACGATAAAGTTATCTTGGTATGACTGCTCTCTTCAGTGTCTTGATATGGAATAACGCTAGAAAATTGATTGGAGTGTTCAAGACAGCAATCCAACGCCTACTTTGTTAACACCCCCTCTCGTTTGGATACTCCTAGCTTCGTCCTTAATTCCTCGAATCGGCCAGCGTCCAAGGACTTGGTAAATAAGTCAGCTAATTGGTTCTCACTTGCAATTGGTTCTATCAGCAGCTTCCCAGCGGTGACAAGATCCCAAAGAAAATGATGTTTGATATCAATATGCTTCACTCTCTTGCTCTCCACGTTCTTAGCCATGCCGATGCACCCACGATTGTCTTCATATATGGCAACTGGCTCGATCTGCTTTTCACCCAAATCGCCTAGGACACCAATCAACCATATTGCTTCCGATGCTGCAGCGCTTAACGCCACATACTCTGCTTCACTTGATGAAGTGGCGCCCGTCGTTTGTTTTTTACTAGACCAGGCAACAGTCGATCCAAACACCTGGAAGACAAATCCGCTCACTGACTTCCTGTCCTCGGTATCGGTAGCCCAGTCTGCATCCGCGAACCCAACTAGTGGTTTTGCTTGAACATCCCGGGTTAAAGTCAAGCAATGATCCATCGTCCCTCTCAGGTAACGCACTACTCGCTTGAGCGCGGTCCAGTGCTGTTGTCCGGGTTGAGCTTGGAATCTCCCCAGGTACCCGACAGGATAGCAAATGTCTTATCTCGTTGATACCATCACGTACATTAAACTTCCCAGTAGCTCACGATACACAGCAAAAAATAATGAATATTAACAAGAGCGTAATTTATAAACAAGCAGAAAAAAAAGTCGCATAATTCAATATCTAGTTTAATTTTACGCAAGAAGTCGCGCACATAATATTATAATAAAAAAATGTTGAAAAATACACGACATGAGGTAAATTTCAACTACTTTTATCAGAACAATACGCCGTGCAAGTAATATTCAGCGACATCACCTAGAAATTTACACGACATTCGCGTAAACAAGTTTGACGCGAGACTGCCAGACGGCAGATAAAAAATAGTCAGCCATTTTCAGAGTGCGTTGCGTTTGGCTTGTCGGTAGCGTCGAAAAGGTTTGTTGAAATGGAGAAGAAAATTAAGTGCAATATATGTGATACTGTGTTTACAGATGTTACATTATACAGCCTTCATATAAAAGTGCATCGTGGCTTCAAAATATTTAATTGCTCGGTCAAAGAATGCAATAAAAATTTCGGGTCATTTTCGTCATTCCGACATCATCTCCGGTACCGGCACTCAGATATCAAAACCAGAAATGATAGGCCACCAATAAAGTGCTCTGTTACATCATGCAGTTTTATGGATAATGATTTCTCAAAAATAATGAAACATGCTTTGCAGCATATTTCAACGGGTCAACCAGTGTACTGTCCTTTAAAATGTCCAACGAGAAAGCCGTTTGCGACAAGCAATAGTTTAAGAATACATAAAATGTACATGCACAGAAGAGGCTTTCAAAAATCACTCGTTTCTTCATCAACGGAGGATTCTTTGCATAGCAACAGTTCAGGAGAAGATATCGCATTTTCCGGTGGTGGAACAGAACAGGAAGAAGAAAATTGTGGAAAAGGAAAAGAAGAAGAAAAAGAAGATGAAGTGCATCCCATAAGTGTGATCGAGAAAATTATGGGAACGCTATTTTTAAAGTTACTTTCCAAGCACCATGTTACTAACAGTTCAATTCAGGAAATTGTAGAAGCTTTTGGAGAAGTTGCTCGTGTTCAGGAACAAATTTTGAAAACTAAATGTGACGCGATGGCGGAGCAGCTTAATATTACAACTTCTACTTTAAAACATGCTATTGTTGTACAACTCGGGGAAGGTCTACTGTTGAGCAGAATGTTTGGATCTACTGGGATTTTTCGTACAGCGTATACACGAAAAAAATTCTATAGTGAAAACTTTTCATACGTGTCTCCAGTAGAAATTCCATTGCAGAAAAATAAGGATCACACGGATTGTTTCTATTATTATGTGCCAATCCTCGACACCCTAAAAGGACTGTTAAACGATAACAATATTTACAATGCTATGTTTCGTGACAAACATAATGTTCCTGGTTACATGAGCGACTATACGGATGGTTTAAAATTCAAGAGCAGTAGCTTCTTCAACCGAAAAACAATTAATCTTATTGTCTACCAAGATGCCGCGGAAGTTGTGGTCAATGCTCTTGGGAATGCTACCTCACGCTATAAATTACTATGTGTTTACTTGGTACTAGGCAACTTAGATCCTCATTTGCGTGGGCTCACGGAAAACGTTCACCTTGTTCTACTTTGCAAGAACAAAGATTTTTCATATTTCGGTACAAATACTGTGCTCCGGAGATTCGTAGAGGATGTAAAAGTACTGGAAGAAGAAGGCATCGTTGTACACGGTAGTGGTGAAGAAGAAACGGTATACGGATCAGTATTTACTACTATGAATGATAACTTGGGTGCCCATCAGCTTGCTGGATTAACGGAAAGTTTTTCCAGAAATTCTTTTTTCTGTAGAAGTTGTTATATGGATTACGGAACCTTTCAGAACGACCCCCTTGGATTTGCAGCATCGCGAACTCCTGAATCGAATAGGATGGACCTTAAAGTGATTCAAAATAACTCTGCCCAAATTCCGTATCGAGGGGTTAAGTCAGGCTGCATCTTAAATGAATTACAATATTTTGAAATGTTCGATTTGGGTGCTGCACCTTGTGTCGCGCACGATTTATTTGAAGGGTGGGTAAATTATGACCTGTATCTCATCTTCAAAAGATTGGTGTCCGAAGGAACTGTTACTGCAAGCTACTTGCAGGGAAGAACCAACAGTTTATTTAAGCAACTCAAAATAAGTACAAAGCTTGAATTCAACTTCTCTCGAAAGGCGAACAATTTCAAGGGAAAAGCTTGTGATTTGTGGCATCTTGTACAGATAATTCCTTTAATTTTCCTTCAGAAATCCATTGATTACAACAAACCAGAAATTATTATGCTGCTTTTGATTAAAAAAATCACTGATGCTGTAACAGCTCCGGTTATTTCAAACGTACAAATACACATACTGGCAGCAGACTTGAATGAGTATGTGGAATTGAGGAGATCTCATTTTATGTTACCATTGAGACCCAAACACCACTTCACACTCCACTACCCTCGATACATGTTATATATGGGCCCTATAATGGCCTACTGTACCTTATTCTGCGAAAGAAAACATTGCTTTTTTAAGCGATGCTTGCGTACTACGCTCAACTTTAAAAATGTCGTAAAATTCTGCAGCGAGCAACATCAATATTACCAAGGTCTTTTGAACTTGCAAACCAATCGTTTTAAAAACGATTTTCTTTTGGAAAGTTTCGTAGAAAATTTTGAGGAACTTCCGTGCTCATGGAAGGACACCCTTCGTGATTTAAAATTGGATGATGACCGATTTGTGTACGCTGAAAAGAGTTCATACTTAGGATACTCGTATAGTGCAGGCAATTTTTTGTTCTTAAATCATGATGAATACGGAGAAAACTTTTTTGTGCTGAATATCGTGTTACTGATCTATAACAGTTCGTCGAAAACAATTGTAGTTTTTGGGAATGAACTCGCAGTAAACCATATTCACGAGCGAGGTGTTTTGGAGATAAAGAACAACGACGAAGACTCATCAAGGTTACTCTGCAAACCAATTGAAGATTTCATTGACCGAACACCGATTGCTTCTTTCGAAGAAAATCATAAAAAGTACCTGTTTATCAAGCATTCCATACCACCAATTCCAATTAAGGACAATAACTAAGCACTATGGACCAATTAGTTGCATACAAAGTTTGTGACTCCTCTCGCCGTAAAAGACACATCATCATCGCTACAACAAGTATTGAGAGTTTGCTTGAACATGGTATGTATTGATCACTCATAAATCAAATTCAAATCGACTCATTTTTCTATTTTATTATCTCTAGGATCCCACACTATCGATCGCCTATTTTCACACGTAGTACTGGAAAACGATGGATGCGAACTATCCAGTGACTTGGCCTTAAGTGCATTCAATAGAGAACTGCTCATGTTATTGGAGACAGGAGAGACATGGATGCCGGATGGTTTGTACACCACTGAAAGTCATACACTGGAAAATGAGGAAGGTACGTTGGTTTTCGAAGATGTGTTTATTTTTCCTAAGTTCTGACTTACTTGAAAGCGCATTTTCATACTGTGTCGGTCTCAATATATTTCAGCGAAGGTCAGCAATTTCTTCTGATCGAGAATTGCACAATAGTGATGGTAATTTGCTACAGGTTGCACCTGCTGGATACATTTTCGTCAATAATACTGGCACTAGATACGCAACGATTGTTTTTGTTGTTTATATGACATTAAATCAAGCTGAACATTACATTACGTCCTAAGTAACATGGATCGATTCTCTTCGTCGACTTTCTCTTTCTTTGATAACTTCAAGCTGAACATTGCATTAGGTCTTAAGTAACATTAACAGATTCTCTTTGTCGGCTTTCTTTTTCGTTAATCTCGTTGTTAATAACTTGAGCACAGAACCGTTTCTTGAAAATCTGTCAATTTTACCTAGGACCTAAGACAATGTTCAGCTTGAATTCTGCTTTGTGATTGATATTAATGGTGGTAAGCTCCAACTCCGATTAACGTTTAATTCCGTTCCTGGTTGGATGATCTGCAACATGTCTTCTTAGAGTCGTGTTGAATAAATCTGATATCGACATCAAAGCAGTCGGACATTCTTGATGGGGATTAAATCCGAGGATAATACCTGTTGGAGCCTACCACCATAAATCTCACGTCATTTTCCAAAAGGTCCTAACTACATTGATCGATTATCTTCATCGATTCTCTCTTTCGTTAATAACTTTGGCTACATTCATCTTTCGGGCTAATTTATCTGCATAGTCTGTTAAAAGAAAGTATTATCATAGAGGTAACTCTAAGACAAGAAGGTCCCGAAGAAACGTGCTCAACTCGATGCACCCCTCGAAACATGGGAAAATCCACGAACCCCTCATTTTATCTGTCAAACTTTCATAGAGAATCAAAACAAATATAGTGTAGTACTAGAATTCCGACTAGAATGGGATACGTTAATCATTTGCTTGAGACCAATAGGCAAGTCAAGTAGTGAGCCAATTTCAAAACGATAGTTTCGTATTGATTGTTGGTATTATTAAGCGAATTGTATGATAAGAACAGCTGAACATGTTTCGGAGCCGAGTTATTAACTGACTTACAAGAGACGTTGAAGTAACGTAACGTAACGTTGTAACGTAACGTAACGCAAGTAACGTTGAATTATCGAGTGTTCAATTAATGGACGGATACTTACTCAACATTGGAAAAGTCCAAAAAAATTGTCAAAATGATACCTTTTTGCATTGCCAAATTTCTAAAACTGGTTCGAATTGTTTTTAAATTATTTATAGGTCTCCAGCAAATTATCACCGAGCAGAGTGTTGTATCTGAAGCTGAGCATGTTCCACATATCACAAATGTTGTGTCATCGGCTATACTAGAAGGTCTAAAAATCGACCAAAACGTGGTTACTTTCCCCGATCACCACGAACCAGCGACTGATGTAGTTGCAATGCAATTATTGGCTAGTGTCGAAGATGATCAAACAGCAGTTTCAAAGCAACCGGGTGAATTACAGCAAGAAGATGACGATGCACCTGATTCACCTGAAAAACAGCAATGCGATGATGAATGTTCCATGGAAGAATCTAATGAAAATCAATCTCCAAACTCAAATCCTAAGCGTCCAGACCATAAAAGCATTGATATTCAGAAAAGTGCTAAAAAGCACGCTTCATGCGAGATGAAATTTCGTTGTTTTGAAATAAATTGGAACAAAGTGAGTGATAATGTTCTAGTTCGACTTACCAGTCTACAAGAATTCAAGAACAACAACCCTGAAAATCCAGTTCCAGGATCATTGCGTTTGAGCCGAAGTGATGTGAGCAGCTTGCTGAACAATATCGTAGATCAACTTAGAGCAATCGATTCCCGTATCAAGGCAGATACTATGGAGGTGGTCTCTAAACAAGTGATGCGGAAATATCCATGTTTAGAATTTACTGATGACGATGGCTTCGGAAATGGAATGAGTTTTGCTGTCATCAAACAGAAGATGATTAACCGAAATACCTATCTGAACAGATTCAAAGAACCGTCCGAACTAAAACTTCCGGCTGCTAACAAAGGTCGAAACGTCCGAGCAGGTACCCTTAAAAGTTATTGGCAGAAATCATCGAAAGATTGCGTTAAAGAAGTACTGTCAAAACTTCGGCGGGATGAGCCTGAGCTTCTGATAGACGAGTTCCTTACAGCATCGCAAGCTTTTGTGAGATTCCGTTTCAGCGAAACAAAGGATCTAAGGCAACTATTCTTGGAGTTCCCAGTATTTAGAAGAAGGAAACTAATGAATTTTCATTTCGAGAAAGCGACGGGAGTTAAAATCATTGATTTGCGGAAATATTATTCCAAGAAACGTTCTAAAATCATCGAATACTCTAGGTCTTTGAACCGAAAGTTTCCACAACTCTCAAAGGATTCCCCTGATTTGGATGTATTCAAATTTCTAGCTTGCATCGTTGGAGAAAACCTGGATGATCTAATTTTGAAGAAAGAGGTACGTATTGCTCATATAGACACTTAAAATTGACTTGGTGGCATCGGTGCACTTATATTTTTTGCTTCAATAATGCATAGTACAACCACCGACAAACCGACATGACACTTAATTCTGATTTATGCCCGAAAATCGTTAACTGCCGATTTAAAGGTGCAGTGATCCGAACTGTCAAAACCATAGGATTTTTTGATCTACATAGATTAAGATAATTTGTCCAGAATAGATCAGACACGAGCTAATCCATAACTTTTTCATGCGGGTTCATGGCTTAGCTAAATATTTCCTGCGAACACGGAGTCAGATGTCAGTAATGCGCTTTGGTCAGAAATTTTATTGTTTTTGCTATGTTCATTCATGTCGGTTTGTCGGTGGTACAACACAGCTAGATTTGTTACGTTGCGATACATCTGACAGGCTTACGATTCAGCTGTTACTTTGTCACATCGTATCAAATCCTATTGCATTGTACGCTGCTCTTGATAAACAAATGCACTGAAAATACCAAGATGATCAGACGGAACTTTGTGCTTTTATGACTTTTGATCATACTTTTGTTTATAAGTGCAAACTTATACTACGTTCAGACTACAGAGTTGTAACATGTTATAACGGTTGTCAAATAATTGCAACACAGAATCCACCATCAAGATAGCGCTATAACATCAGGCATAACATTTGATAACGGCACAAAAGCATTTATAAACAAACTTTCTAAAGCCCTTTACACGCGAATTAAAGTACGCCCACGCAAACCAACAACATCATCGGATAAGGGCAACTATCACCTTTCCGAAAGTGGTATTGGTTTGCGTGAGCGTACTTTGGTTCGCGTGTAAAGGGCCTTAGAAAGTTTGTTTACAAATGCTTTTGTGCCGTTATCAAATGTTATGCCTGACATGTTATAACTCTGTAGTCTGAACAAGGCATTAAAGGGGAAACGCATATCAATAGTAAGCGTTCATAAGGCCTGATTGCAATGATCGATTCTCTTAATCGATTTTCTTTTTACATTGCTACAGCTAAGCGAAACAATTTTCTGAAATTTATCTAATTCAGTACTTTAACAAGTATAGGACTGGCAATCAAAAGCAACAGCAAATACATCGAGAAATTTTAATCCAAGCGAGTTAATAGCAAAAGCGAAAATCGATGAAAAAATCGATCATTGCAATTAGGCCCTTATGGACGCTCACTGTCGATATTATTATTATTAATAGTAGTGTAATCAAAACCAGGATCAATCGACTCAATTTGATGAAATTTACTACATTACCTGTTTTTTTCTTGGTTTTTACACTTTCTATAAAAATTATTTATCACTTATTCCAATTTCGGACATTACTAAAGCCTTCTTTATAGATCAGAGAAGGTCAGCATTGTATTAAAATCACCTAGAAAGGATTGGAACAAAACAAGAGAATCATTACCCATGAAGTTGTGTTGCCAAAAACGGGAATGTACTGTAGTAAGAGAATCGATTTAGAAATCCAAAAAATCGATTCCCATAATTTGGATCAAGATCGCGCAATCCTATTCGGAGTGCGTATCGGATGTCATTTTTTTGTCGATACAGGAGTCCCATAAATAGCGCGGTGGGCGGAACGGTCCACTCACTGCTATTTCTCGGCTATCCTCCAATTAATTGAACACATTTTTTGTAGGCGTTTAGTGTATGGTTGATACAAATCATATATGAAAACAGTTCAATTGGTTAGAGGATGGTTTAGCAATAGCGGTGGGTAGACTGCACCACCCACCGCATTTTTCGAGGGATTTTTGTAGGCTAACCGAGTGTAAACAAAAATTCAAAATAAAAAGTTCTACCAAACTTGGCTCGCATAATTTTCGGAACGTTTTCTGCTGCCTATTCTACCTATATAGTCGCTATATTTCTGTCTATCTAGTTTGTAAAACAAGTGCTAAGGACCCATTCATTTCGAAAGAGGGGATTGGAATTAATGAGAGGCAAACCAGCGGATTTCTTGAGCGACGAATTGTGAGGAGTTAACTGGAGGTTTTTTTTTTGGATTAGGACACTATAATGCTGGGTTTAGACGGCAAGAGACATCATGTGTGGCTCGTTATTAATTTGATATGGTGATAGGTAAAAACGTTGATCTTCGCCTAAAATTCGCCTCCACCGGCAATGTTTAATTTTTCATCAAGTGTTCAATTTCAATTGTAATTTTGTAATGAAAATAGCAACCTCGTCGGATAACAACAAATTCAATCGTCAATTATTCTTTGTATTGTAACCCTTAGTTTTCCCACACTAAGTAACACCACCATTCTGCCGCTATTCGCATAACAGTCTCATGTAGATTGGAATTCGATATGACATGGGACTATTATCCGAATAGCAGCAGCATTAGATATGGTAAAATTACACTATATTATGGTAGTGTTAGTTTTCGAGGGCGAGCTATGAGTTTCGACATTTTGGCGTTTAAATCTTTGTTTTTTAAAGTACACAGCAAAAAAAGTTGTTGAATATTACATCGAAACTGCTGCAACCAGGTCAATCCATCGGTTGTGTAATATCACATTGTACGATGTACATCGATTTTCCGAACAAAATTACATCCATTGATGTAATATTGTATCTGCTTTTTGCTATTACATCATTATTTCATACATCAGCTTGAATTACGTTGATCGATATTACATTTTTTTTTGCTGTGTAGATAGATTCATTTGGAAATGTATCCCTGAGTTCAGCAAGTAGTTTGGATCAATTAAGATGTGAGGGCATGTTCAAATATTACGTAACACAATAATTAGTGGGGGTTCGTCTTAAAGCACTCTAGTAAAATTATGGACTACTGTCACCACAAATATGAAAAAGTTGTTCCAAACGAGCAAAGCAGTGCATTTTGACGGTTCGATTGGAACAACGTTTGACAGACGTCCATACTTTTACTTAGAGGACTTTAGTCAGTCTGAAAATAGATACACATACCATGCATTAGGTATAAGTAGTACTAGGTAGTTCTTAACTGTTAGTTATATAATTAATTGTTTTTGGCAAATTGAGACATATACTGAGAAGTATTAGGTGAATTAGGTATAGGAAAAGTACAACCCAAGGGGGTGAATTTTCAAAAATCCACTTTATTGCGTTACGTAATATTTGAACGGGTCTTTACTCCTTTGTTACTATTATATGAAAGGTATAAACTATGCTTTTCAGTATAGTGTTTTATCGATAAACGAATGAACCTTATAAAAATATTTTTTTAAATATCAAATAATTACAAAAATCCGATCAACCTGCAATTGATTAGTAAATTTCAATATATTTGTTGATCGTCTGTAATAAAAATATTAATTTTAATAATAATAACTACTTGATATTGTTAAAATTCTAGATTGGAACACGACTCGACGATATAAAAATGGATTCGTCAGGCCCCTTACTGGTTTCAGTTGGTAAGTTACTTCTACACACTTAGATTTTTTCGCCGAGATGGGCACCACCGAGCAGCTCGGCATTTTATTTTGCTGGATCTCAGTGAAAAACTTGCCGAGATTCAGCTAACAAACGGGAATTTTGCCGAGATCTCAGCTAACAAACATATTTTTTGCTGAATTTCCAGCAAAATAAAATGCCGAGCTGCTCGGTGGTGCCCATCTCGGCAAAAAAATCTAAGTGTGTACGAAGACTCATGCATCATGTGATAATATTTGTATAACTCTCTTTATTAATTTCAGACATGGGTCAGGAAATGAACATGTATTACGTATACGCTGACCAAATTCGGCTCTCCGAAGGCACATTGGATATAATCTGTGCTTTCGAGGATCTTATGGCTGTACATTTTGTACATAATTTTAAGTACATTAAACCACTTTCTAAATTTTTGGAACTGCTACAGGAATATTTGTTAAAAGTAATTCCATCTTCAGGATCCAAATCAAATGCATATCGAGTTGGGAATCAGCAAAGAGTCGTTAGAAGGGTTATTACAGCCCTTTCGCATTTTGAATTGAATTGAATGTATAGAGAAATAGAAGTCGTTGCAATGTTTCAAACATGGTAAAAGTAAAATTAGTAGGAGCAAAATAAATCAGTATCACATGAGTTAAGAATCAAATCAATAAAGTAAAATGAATAAAATGTTGTTTATTTCAAACAAAAATTGATGACACATTCTCTCACGTTACAACGCTTTTCGTTGATCCATTCTATTAATTGAATTCTCCTTTGACCACGTCAGCAAAAATATATTCTTATCTATGTTTGCAGGTTAGATCAACCGAAGAAGTTAAATTAAAATTATGCAAACACCATTTATTTCAGGTTAATGGAGCGTGATTCCACTTTCATTGAATATTCTGCGACGACTTGTAATTTTACATGATTCGAAAAAAGTTGAATGTAAATTTAAGAACACGCGTAAAATTATGCGAAATGTCGCGTTAATTATATGTGCGCTAAAAATAGCGTAAATTTACATGATTTTTTCGAACTGTGTACGGTACTCCATTAGCTTCGGAAATTTGACGATAAAGCTGCAACCCTTTCTCCATCGGGGTCCTTGTAGGATTGCATTCCAACATGCCAAACTTCTGGAAGATCTTTTCTAGGCTTGCTTCTTGAGACAGCATCATCTTTCCGTCTTGTCGATTGTAGCGTATCTTCATGCCAAGGAAATGGCTAAGCTCTCCACAGTCGGTCATGGCGAACATCCGGGATGATTCGTTCTTCAATTTCAAAATTGTTGACAGCTTCGCTCCCGCTATGAGAAGGTCATCAACATATAGTACGACGAAAATGGCATCTTCCCCCCTCTCGTCGGTACGGGTGTACAGGCAATAATCGTGCTTGGAACGAATAAAACCTAACTTCAGCAGCGCTTGATTGAACTTCTCGTTCCAGCAGCGAGGGGACTGCTTCAAGCCATACAGACTCTTTTTCAATTTGCACACCGTGCCAGCTCTCGCCTTGACGCCGTTCGGAACCGCCATGAATATTTTCTCTTGCAGCTCACCGTGAAGAAACGCCGTCTTCACATCCATTTGGTGGAAATGGAACCCTTTTTGAACACCGACAGCCAGCACAATACGGATTGTCGTCAGCTTCGCCACAGGTGCGTAGGTTTCGTTGTAGTCCAAACCGGCTTTCTGCAAGAAACCTTTGACGAACAACCTTGCTTTATAGCGCACAGGGTTTCCTTCTTCATCCTCTTTCGTGCGGAAGATCCACTTTGACTGCAGCGGTTTGACGCCGGTTGGGCATGGCACCAATTCCCATACCTTGTTGGCCTCCAGGGATTTCAGTTCTTCATCGATTGCATCCAGCCACAGTTTTTGGTCATTCCGCGCGTTGATTTCATCGTACGAATCCGGGAAATCTGGGAATGTTGAAATTTTTCCAGCAGACGTTGCTCTGAACCCAGTTAGAAAGTCAAGAAACTTACCTGGGAGCCTGCGCTCCCGTTCACCACGCCTAGTGTTTGACTCTGAACAGTCTTCACCTCTTGATTGTGAAGGGAGCGCCCCAGGTTTTTCAAGTTGCTCCTCAGGTTGTTCGTCTAGTTCAACCTCATCCTCGTCATCACTTAGCACAGGCATCGCGTCTTCGAACTCAACTTGCTGGTCATCTGGCTGCTCTTCCAATTCAGCTTGCTGGTCATCTTCGACGGCCGGATACAGCATTGGAATCACCAACGGTACCCTCGAATCTTGACTGTCTTCAAAAGCGTACGGTAATGAATTCTCGTCAAATTTGATGTCACGGGCTACGAGGATTTTTCTTGACGTTCTATCCCAAAGGCGGTATCCGTTGGGAGCATAGCCCACCATCACCGCCTCGCGACTCTTGTTGTCCAGCTTTTTCCGGAGTTGACCTGGCACCCATGCAAATGCTTTGCATCCGAAAATCCTCAATTTCGATAGATCAGGTTTCACACCGGTCCAATACTCAGCGGCGTACGGTTGTCCGATAGAGCAGCAGTAGAACAACGATTTAATATATACGTACCGGTAAGCACTGCTTCCGACCACATGTACTTGGGCATATTCGAGTCGATCAGCATTGTCCTTACCTTTTCAATTAGCGTTCGATTGAACCTCTCGGCAACTCCGTTCTGTTGCGGAGAATATGCTACGGTTGGCTGGATTTGAATCCCCTTTCGCTTGTAGAATGCTTCTTGTTCCTTAGAGCCGTACTCACGCCCTTGATCCACGGTTAGCTTGCTGATTCGTTTTTCGAACTGGGCGGTCACCATCGCTTCGTATTCTTGAAAACGACCAAAAACCTCGGACTTCTTCTTTATCACATAGATACACGCAAAGTGACTATAATCGTCGATGAATGAAACAAAATACTTCGATCCATCCCAGGCCGGAGGATTGATTGGTCCACACACGTCCGAGTGAATCCGCTCTAGTAGACGACTAGCTCTTTCACGAGTTCCGTCGAAGGGTTCTCTGCATTGCTTACCGAGCACGCAAGTGTCACAGAACCCGATAGCATTGACCTTCGGACCAAATCCTTCCGCCACACTAAACCGGGCCAACGTGTTCATCGTGGTCTGACTGGCGTGACCCAAACGACGATGCCAGAGTTTTCCAGCGTCCGATGCGCATAGATTTGCGGTAGCTCCTGACACGTCCAAGTTTAAATCCAATTCGTACAAATTACCTCGTAGATGCGCTACTTCAATTACTGAGTCATTCTTTTTCATCATCGCTTGATGCTTTCCACCACGGCTTGTGATTAGTACGTCGATTCCCGCTTGGGACATCTTCTTCACGGATAGCAGGTTTCCTCTCAGCTCGGGCACGAAAATCACATTTTTCATTTCAAACTTCACACCTTCTCTTGATAGTCCAGTAACTTCACCTTCGTAGTTTCCGATAATTGAAACACCATCTTTGGCTACATCGATCACGAACGGTTGTTTGAGTTTCCTCACCGACTGCATGCATTCCAAAGTGTTCACCAGATGGTCGCTGCATCCAGAATCCACAACGAAAACTGACCTCTTATGTTCCGTCTTCGTCGGCATCTTGTTCACCATGAATGAAACTGATTTGCTGTTAACGGCCGCATTCACCTTACCTTCTGGCTTCTTAACATAGCAATCTTTTTGCATATGTCCCACCTTTCCGCAACGATGGCATTTTCCGGTAAACTTTTTGGTCTTCTTATTTCGTCCTCCGACAAACGCTGCACTCCTATCTACACAAGAATCTTCCATCCGATCAGACCGCTTGGATTCCTCCGCCAACAATCGTTGCTTCACGGTTTCCAACGTCAGGTCCTTTTCGTTTATATTCTCTAAAGCTGTTACAATGGAGTCGTAGCTGTCGGGAAGGGTCAAAAATAATTGTGATACCGTATCGTTCTCCTCCAATTTCGCACCAGCGGTCTTGAGCTGCCGTACGATGTCGTCGAACTGCTGGAAATGATGCCGCATTGAAGTACCCTCCTTCATCCGAAGTCTTGCCAGTTGCTTCCGTAACAGTGTCTGACTTGCCACAGACTTCTTCGCGAAGGTGTCTTCGAGTGCCTTCTGTAGGGTTCTACCTTAGCGTAATGTGGGTTGTCCCTAGGAAAAACGGTATTCAACTGATGAGCGGTGAGATTGGCAACCCTGGAGGGGAGTAGAGTGACAGGGAGCGGAAGAGAAAGCGTTGGTGAAAAACGAGGAGATAAAAACCGTGCGGAATAAAGGAGCAATGAAAGTTAATTGAAATCAGAGTTTTATTTGGGAATTTTGGAAGCACTACAACTTGGCGACGAGGATCGGATAAAGGTACGTAATGTTACTATGTAGTGAAAATGGGAAGAAAATACCAAATTTTGTTGAAATGGCAGTAAGATAAATGTGTGTGAAAAGCGGTTGCACTAAGAGGTTATGTTTTGTATTGATTGGGCGAAAGAAATGTTTTTTTGACTTGGAGGTGGATATCTACCGGGAGGTAGAGGTGCTTGTTGGGAGACAAAGATCTTTTCTGCCGGGAGGTAGAATGTGGTCGGGAGACGGAAATGTATCTGCCGGGAGGTAGAGTGTTGGTCGGAAAAAAAATCTGACGAAGGTAGAATGTTGTCGGGAGACGAAAATTTATCTGCCGGGAGGTAGAGTGTTCGTCGGGAGACGAAAGTTTTCTACCAGGAGGTAGAAGTGATGGTCGGGAGACAAAAGATTTTTCTGGTGGGAGGTTGAAATCTACTGGGAAGTAAAAGTGTCGGGAGACAGAAGTGTGTCTGCCGGGAGGTGGAAGTGTACTTTACCAGGAGATGTAGTACAACTGTTCGTCGGGAGACAAATGTTTGAACCGAAAGTTAGAAGTAATTATTGAGGAGTGGAAAAGTGTCACTCGGGGCTAAAATAGAACGAGTAACTGGTTAAAACTTGGTACCTAAATTGTGTGATTGAAACAAAATCAAATAGGTTGATTTGCTGTTACGAAGTAATCACTGATGGAAAATTTACATGTATTTGCAGATGGAATCTGATATGCGTCCTATACCACCGTTCTTATGCGAACAAATAGAGCGTACTAAGTTAGCCAGGGAGTGGAAGGCATGGAAAGGAACACTTGAATGTTATTTTGAAGCTCATGAAATAACAGATCAAAGGATAAAAAGAGCTAAAATGTTGTATCTTGGAGGCACACAACTTCAGCGTGTGTTCTCGAATCTTCCAGATACCGAGAAGTTTGCGTTTGTGGCTCTAGAGAAGAAGTGGTACGATGTGGCGCTGGAAAGATTGGACGATTTTTTTCAGCCCATGCGGCAGGATACATTGGAACGACATCGTCTGCGTGAAATGAAACAAATGAAGGATGAGCGATTTGCACAATACGTGTTGCGGTTGAGGCAACAGGCTGCTGATTGCGGATTTGATAAGCATCACCCGGAAGTTTCAAAAGTCTTGATGGAGATAACACTGATCGACGTGATTGCAGAAGGGTGTACTTCCAACGAGCTACGACGCAGGATTCTCAAAGAGGATCAAACGCTACAGGAAATTGAGGCCCTGGG